CCCAATATGACTGACCGTGGACCTGTAACAAGGTCAATATGAAAACATCCAATTAATAACATAATATTATCGTTTCCACCTAAATCTCTGCATGTAAGATAGGGTACATACACACAATTAACCACAATCTCAATGCGGACTCGTAACTAAAGCCCTATTGAAGTAGACGCCAGTCTAACAATGATGTATAATTTATTGTCATTCTGAGCCTTTTATCACATGTTGGTGTGTACATTTCCGAGGAGTTCTTTTCTTTGGTTTTATTTACAACATTACATAACTAAAGGAATCGTAAGATTTACAGCAATTAAATTAACTCCAATGAATGAATCCATAATTGTATGGGGTATATATATATATATATATATATATATATATATATATATATATATATATACGATGTATGGCATATGTAGATCCTTCAGTGCACGTGTACTCAAAATTTGAAAGCAAGAAAGTGGCTGATAGATAATAGGCCATATACAATTTTAGTGAGAATACTAATAGTAATACTGTAAACTCTTTTAATATGGCACATTCTCATTTGGGAGATCGGGGGCTTTTAGGGAGGGACAATGGGGGACGGGGTCTGTACACATTTTCGACTCAGTCATTAGAATTTCAACATAATGAAAGTGGGCTGAATAGTTGAATACATGTTGGATATAGAAAACAGCTATCAACATGAATAAAAATCATCATCCAGAAACCCGTAAAGTTTAATGGGGGCATGGGCCGTCTAGTTGTCCGAAAGACGCCGGACTACGCTGTCAAGAGTTGCGCCTCTTATACGTGTGTCTATCCGATGATAATGGGCTCGATTATGATCCTTGGTTTGTGAGAACGATATCTGAGCTCGTGCATGGGTGTCACCAAAGTGTAACAATCCTGCGTCTCCCACATAACACTGGTACGTCATGATATAACTTAATTCCTGTTCAAAGCGGCGTCGACCCGTGAAGATTCCGGGGTAGAATAGGTCTTCAGCAACCCATGCTTGTCCTAAAAGGCGAATATGCTTGTTGTAAAAGGCGACTAACGAGATCGGGTGGTCAGGCTCGCTGACTTGGTTGATGCATGTCACTGATCCCAATTGCGTGGATCGATGCTCATGATATTAATCACTGGATTGTCTGGTCCACACTCGATTATCTACAGACCGCCGTCATATAACTGGAATATTGCTGAGTGTGGCGTTAAACAACAAACAAACAAACCAAAATCAAAGCGGCGTCAAATCCTACTGACTCACACATATAAACTACACTTGAAATTTTATATTTGACCAAACAATTACAAAACGTTATCAAAGGTCACTAGGCTGAGAACAGTGGCGAAACACTGCAAACCCAAAACACAAATATGATTACCGAAACAAATACATCACCATCGAATAACTATTTCTTGTTTGCTTCATTTTAGCCACCATTAAACATGGGTGTTTACTTTCTTTTACCCGGCAGTTTTTTTCATTGGACGACGGTCGGCCGACGGACAACGCCCAATGTATACACTCAGCTGCAAATGTATATTTGTTCTCGACCGGGAAATGGTTCATGTTTCATGTTCAAGTTACCGTGGCAGTAGTGACATCTATATGTTTCATGTTTCATGTTCAAGTTACCGTGGCGGTAGTGACATTAATATGTTTCATGTTCAAGTTACCGTGGCAGTAGTGACATCTATATGTTTCATGTTTCATGTTCAAGTTACCGTGGCAGTAGTGACATCTATATGTTTCATGTTTCATGTTCAAGTTACCGTGGCAGTAGTGACATCTATATGTTTCATGTTTCATGTTGAAGTTACCGTGGCAGTACTGACATCTATATGTTTCATGTTGAAGTTACCGTGGCAGTAGTGACATCTATATGTTTCATGTTTCATGTTGAAGTTACCGTGGCAGTAGTGACACCTATATGTTTCATGTTTCATGTTCAAGTTACCGTGGCAGTAGTGACATCTATATGTTTCATGTTTCATGTTCAAGTTACCGTGGCAGTAGTGACATCTATATGTTTCATGTTTCATGTTCAAGTTACCGTGGCAGTACTGACATCTATATGTTTCATGTTCAAGTTACCGTGGCAGTAGTGACATCTATATGTTTCATGTTTTATGTTCAAGTTACCGTGGCAGTAGTGACATCTATATGTTTCATGTTCAAGTTACAGTGGCAGTAGTGACATCTATATGTTTCATGTTTCATGTTCAAGTTACCGTGGCAGTAGTGACATCTATATGTTTCATGTTTCATGTTCAAGTTACCGTGGCAGTACTGACATCTATATTTTTCATGTTTCATGTTCAAGTTACCGTGGCAGTACTGACATCTATATGTTTCATGTTTCATGTTCTAGTTACCGTGGCAGTACTGACATCTATATGCTTCATGTTTCATGTTCAAGTTACCGTGGCAGTAGTGACATCTATATGTTTCATGTTTCATGTTCAAGTTACCGTGGCAGTAGTGACATCAATATGTTTCATGTTTCATGTTCAAGTTACTGTGGCAGTAGTGACATCTATATGTTTCATGTTTCATGTTGAAGTTACCGTGGCAGTAGTGACATCTATATGTTTCATGTTTCATGTTCAAGTTACCGTGGCAGTACTGACATCTATAAGTTTCATGTTCAAGTAACCGTGGCAGTAGTGACATCTATATGTTTCATGTTTCATGTTCAAGTTACCGTGGCAGTAGCGACATCTATATGTTTCATGTTTCATGTTCAAGTTACTGTGGCAGTAGTGACATCTATATGTTTCATGTTTCATGTTCAAGTTACCGTGGCAGTACTGACATCTATATGTTTCATGTTTCATGTTCTAGTTACCGTGGCAGTACTGACATCTATATGCTTCATGTTTCATGTTCAAGTTACCGTGGCAGTAGTGACATCTATATGTTTCATGTTTCATGTTCAAGTTACCGTGGCAGTAGTGACATCAATATGTTTCATGTTTCATGTTCAAGTTACTGTGGCAGTAGTGACATCTATATGTTTCATGTTTCATGTTGAAGTTACCGTGGCAGTAGTGACATCTATATGTTTCATGTTTCATGTTCAAGTTACCGTGGCAGTACTGACATCTATAAGTTTCATGTTCAAGTAACCGTGGCAGTAGTGACATCTATATGTTTCATGTTTCATGTTCAAGTTACCGTGGCAGTAGCGACATCTATATGTTTCATGTTTCATGTTCAAGTTACTGTGGCAGTAGTGACATCTATATGTTTCATGTTTCATGTTCAAGTTACCGTGGCAGTACTGACATCTATATGTTTCATGTTTCATGTTCAAGTTACCGTGGCAGTAGTGACATCTATATGTTTCATGTTTTATGTTCAAGTTACCGTGGCAGTACTGACATCTATATGTTTCATGTTCAAGTTACCGTGGCAGTAGTGACATCTATATGTTTCATGTTTCATGTTCAAGTTACCGTGGCAGTAGTGACATCTATATGTTTCATGTTTCATGTTCAAGTTACTGTGGCAGTACTGACATCTATATGTTTCATGTTTCATGTTCAAGTTACCGTGGCAATACTGACATCTATATGTTTCATGTTTCATGTTCTAGTTACCGTGGCAGTACTGACATCTATATGCTTCATGTTTCATGTTCAAGTTACCGTGGCAGTAGTGACATCTATATGTTTCATGTTTCATGTTCAAGTTACCGTGGCAGTAGTGACATCAATATGTTTCATGTTTCATGTTCAAGTTACTGTGGCAGTAGTGACATCTATATGTTTCATGTTTCATGTTGAAGTTACCGTGGCAGTAGTGACATCTATATGTTTCATGTTTCATGTTCAAGTTACCGTGGCAGTACTGACATCTATATGTTTCATGTTCAAGTAACCGTGGCAGTAGTGACATCTATATGTTTCATGTTTCATGTTCAAGTTACCGTGGCAGTAGCGACATCTATATGTTTCATGTTTCATGTTCAAGTTACCGTGGCAGTAGTGACATCTATATGTTTCATGTTTCATGTTCAAGTTACCGTGGCAGTACTGACATCTATATGTTTCATGTTTCATGTTCAAGTTACCGTGGCAGTACTGACATCTATATGTTTCATGTTCAAGTTACCGTGGCAGTACTGACATCTATATGTTTCATGTTTAAGTTACCGTGGCAGTAGTGACATCTATATGTTTCATGTTCAAGTTACCGTGGCAGTAGTGACATCTATATGTTTCATGTTTCATGTTCAAGTTACCGTGGCAGTAGTGACATCTATATGTTTCATGTTTCATGTTCAAGTCACCGTGGCAGCAGTGACATCTGTATAAATATCTAGGTAAAGAACCCAAGCTATATCGTTGGTCCCGCGTATGTTTATCCTATCAACCCAAAGCGATTCTTAAAATACCATGCAGGGGACACAGATGGCCAAGTCTTCTGAAGGGCCGCACTTCACTCAGCGTAGTTGCGCCTTAGACGTGCCAGAAACGTATGATCGTGGATCGAATGCCGGTTGCCCTGGTTACGTTTCTAGGTTTGTCAGCACCATTCCCGTGTTCGTGGGTTTTACCAAAGTGGTAAACGTCTGTGACCTGCATCACTTCAGGCATTCTTCACACATCAAGCTGATAACTGATATATTAGTACTTTTTTAAAGCGGCGTTAACAGAACTCACTCACTCAAAATACCATGTGCCCAATTCATTTGTATAGTAATTATTCCTTCCGAAAACATAATTTTTTAATATAGTTTCTTGGTATATATGCGAAACTATTATTAAATTTCCTCCAAACGTAAATATACAAATTCACTTTCAAACTTATAGCAAAGGTCACGTACAGTTCCTGTATTGACGTGCTAATGTGCAGTTAGGCTCAGATTCGTGATCAGTAATCACATTAAACGATATTAGAGAGATACAATTCGTCGATCGTGCAGCCACCTTCATCATAACCAGAGCTGATTAACACTATCCTATTATCGCTAGTCCCCTTAATAAGACCCCGGGAAATATTCCAACTCAGTCAGCGTCCATCTTCCAGTTGAGACGGGAACTCTCAACAGCGTTGTCACAGAGAGGAAAATACGTCAGAACACTCGTCAATCTCATACATACAAGGTGATAGAAGTCCACCTGCACTGCTTCAGAGTTTCATCAAACCACCATGGCTGACAACGCACTGCTTGAGTCGAAAATTCGTGCTTGGTTCAAGATGACCGACGCCAAGAAGGACGGGTGTATGTGTCGAGAAGACTTCCAGCTCATCGCAGACAGATTTGTTGCAGAATATAAGCTCGGTCCGGAGAAAGCCACGGAAATCCGAAACTGGTTGGTGGACGGCTGGGACAAAATCCTCCATGACGAGACGTGTGACATCAAAGCCTTGGAAGCAGACTTGCCGCTGGTAGTAGCGGTGAACGCTAAACTCAGATCCGGGGAAAAGATCAGTGAAGATGATTTCACGGAAGCCTTCCTCCAACTCCGAAACAAGGACTTGTCCCTGGCGAAGAAGAGTCTGGAGAACATGATCGACGTCTTCTTCGGCATCTTTGACGCCAACGCTGACGGTTTCATCATCATGCCAGAGATGGTGGTCGCCATGAAGTGTTTCGGATTGGAGAATTCGGAACTCGTCAAGCAGACTTTTGAGTGCATGGACAAAGATAAGGACGGGAAGCTGAGCAAGGATGACTATATTGGAAGTTGGACTGATTTCTTTTTTGGTGAAGAGAGTGAGAATCCACTTCTCACATGCTTTGCTGCGTTCATGGCTCCAGGGGCTGCATCATAGACTTGTTAGTGCAATGTTCATGGAGAGTACTGTTCCGAGAATGTTCACATGCAGATCATGAGTTATGCGTGGACAGATAAGGGAATGCGGTTTGTATTTGCAGCTGTTTAAAGTATGGCAAGTACAATGGCTTTACACACCCTTGTAATGTACATGTACTACATGATTTGTAAGCTTTAAGAGAAATAAAAGTTATCGATGTATGTGTTGTATGATATTACTGAGTGTTTGTACGACATGCCAATATCCAGAGAGCATCGATCCACGCAATTGGGATACGATGACAAGCATCAACCAAGTCAGCGAGCCTGACCACCCGATCCCGTTAGTCGCCTTTTACGACAAGCATAGTCACCTTTTACGGCAAGTATGGGTTGCTGAAGACCTATTCTGACCAGGAATCTCCACGGGTAAACGTAACGTGACTTTGATGTTTTGTTTGTTTCACACCGCACTCAGAAATATTCCAGCTATATGGCGGCGGTCTGTAATGATAATCGAGTCTGGACCAGACAATCCAGTGATCGATATCATGAGCATCGGTCCACGCAACTGGATACAATGACGTGCATCAACGAGCCTGAACATACGATCCCGTTAGTCGCCTCTTACGACAGGCATAGTCGCCTTTAACGGCAAGCATGGGTTGCTAAAGACTTGTTATTCCAACCCGAATCTTCAGGGGTTACTTGGCTTTGTTTGTTGTTTAACGCCGCACTCAGAAATATTCCAGTTATATGACGGCGGTCTGTAAGCAATAGAGTCTTGACCAGACAATCCAGTGATTGACAACATGAGCATCTATCCACGCAATTGGGATCGATGACATGCATCAAACCAAGTCATAGAGCCTGACCACCCTTAGTCGCCTCTTACAACAAGCATAGTCGCCTGTTACAGCATTCTGTTTTGGCAGGGTATGTGATGTGGAAAGGGTGTTTATGGTTGGGTTCCATATTAATGTACTTATATAGCCAAGTGCCTACACTGGCGTGTGTGTATGCTTATACTAGCACCGACTAATGCAGGTTTCAACATGCTAGTTGATATCATGCAGAGGTTGAAACATGAATGCCCCACTCAGACGCTTCATACTGACTCAGAGCCAACCAGTTCTTGTTTTAGCCCCTTAATGCTGAGCACCAGGCAGGTTAACAACAAGTACCATCTTTTAAGGTCTTTTGGTGTGACACAGGTGAGGATGGAACCCCCTCCAGGTTTTGATGTCAGTAACCAATCCATTAAGATGCCTTCTACAGCAACCATAGGATGCTGTGGATCTATTCTTACACAGGGTCACCACAGTGGTATGAGGTGTCAAAGCCCATAGAACCCTTACATTCTCATATGCATTTTTCAGCCACAATAAACATAATTTATTAAATCAATAATGCAGTGCAGTGCATTTTCAGTGCATTTTAATGTCATTACATGGCATTTATTGGCTGATCTTACTGCACGCAACAGAATGTTACCAGATTCAGACAAATGGATTAAGCTGCAGCCTGATCAAGTGGAATTAAGAAAAACTCAAGATGCCTTTTGTAATAATTTATTTAATCTTCAACATGGCACTTTCTCATACCACGAAAGCGTTTTTTCAAAGTCTCCCAAATATCAAACATAAGAATGGCTTTCATCTTAAAAGTGTCAGTTTCAAAAGATTTCAGTGTATCTATTCTTCGCCTGACTTGAAAGTGTCTATGCACACACACTATGTACAGAGAAATCAGTAAGTGACCCAGGAAACAGATGTCTTGCTTGAACCATTTCTGGAATAACAAATGACACTTCAGGTTATATAAATAATATTCTAACAACCTTTTATTTATATCATATCTTAGCACTCGCTTCCGCTAAACAAAGATCTGAGGACAACCCATCGTGAAAGGTATTCTGGCGTGACCTGTAATGGGATGTCCTCAGATCTTTGCATAGTTGTAGCAAGCACAAAGATTTGATGTTACTGTGATTGTATTCTTACAAATCAAACTTGTCTCAATTACCAACATTGTTGTTAGATGATAAATCTTTTATCACCTACACCAATGTTATTTGTTTTTTTCTGTAACATACCAGATGAAATTAACAAAAACGTTTGAAACTTCATGATGATGGATGGAAGGTGAATTGACACAAAGCTAACACTATACCTAGATCAGAGTGTTACAACAGCTATATCTATATGATGATGTCTGTATCGCCAAGTTCTTCGTCTGAAGGGAGGGATGCAATCACACTTTCTTTGTCAATGAGTTCTGGGTCTATCAAAGGAAGCCCTTCCTTTTCTCGTCGTTCTAGCTCAAGGAAGGCCTCTCTTGTGGACCAACTTAGGTACCTGGAAACAAGGAATAAAATAAATGCAAAATTTAGTAACAAACTAAGAAAAGAGAAATTATTTAAGACAGACTAAATATATCTCATCCTACGGTGGTGAAGTGAAATGGGGTTGAATATCATGTTCAAGATTATGGCAATAAACTATAGTTGGTTGGCTGGTTGGTTGGTTTGTTGTTTAACGCCGCACTCAGCAATATTCCAGCTATATGACGGCGGTCTGTAGCTAATCAAGTCTGGACCAGATAATCCAGTGATTGACATCATGAGCATTGATCCACGCAATTGGGATTGATCGCATGCATCAACCAAGTCAGCAAGCCTGACAACCCGATCCCGTTAGTCACCTCATACGACAAGCATAGTCGCAACCTTCCATGCACTTCCAGTTTAATGATATTGCCCCTAAAATTCCGGCAATCACATGTTCGATAATTTCTAATTGAAAACAGGGCTGCTAGCTCTTGCCATACCAACCAGATGCATTCAGTTCACAAAGTAAGTGAGTCAGTTCACAAAGTGAGTGAGTGAGTGAGTGAGTGAGTGAGTGTGAGTGTGTGTGTGTGTGTGTGTGTGAGTGAGTGAGTGAGTGAGTGAGTGAGTTGGTTTTATGCCTTTTATATAACTGCATCTTAGTTTTATCATCATGTAGGAGGAAATTGATGAAGGTCGCAAACCACTGTGGTGATACCCACAGGCACATTATGATTTGGACAAATTATAATCAAAGAAAAATCAGATCCTAGGATTCTGACAAGGCTAAGGCACACAACTCTGAACAGTGAATCAGTACTCAAAACAAGCAGAGCAATATTTTAAACAGCCATTCCAGTGACATTGTCTTTCAATGAAAGTCACTCAATACCTTTACCAATCCAATGCCCACCCAATGGATGGTATGTAACAAAACATTTCATCCTACTACAGCAAACACTTACACATTACAGTTTTGAGTGTAAGACCATGAGAGTTAATTGGACGTTCAATATCAGTGAAATTTCAAAGGGATATTCAGCAGGTAAACCCAAAAATATAAAAGTCAGAGGTAGAAATCAATGTAACAATGAATACTGAGCATATAAATCTGAGTGAGTGAGTGAGTATACTTTTACGCCTCTTTTAGTAATATTCCAGCAAAATCAAGGTGGGGGACACCAGAAATGGGCTTCACACATTGTACTCATTGTCTTCTGCGTGATGAGCAAACACTTTAACCACTAGGCTACCCGACCACCCCTCTGAGAGTGAGTTTGGTATAAAACTGCTTTCAACAGTACTTCAGTTGTATCACGGCAGCTTGATGTGGTAGGAAAGCCTGAAGTGATGCAGGTTTTAGATGTTTACCACTTTGAAACCCATGAGCATGGCTATGGTGATGACATGATCAGGGTGAACCTAGGATTTGAACCTGTAACCATAGGTTTCTGACAAGCCAAAGGGACGTATCTCTGCCAAGTGAAATCAGTGCCTTAGATGACTGGGCCCCCTGGACCCCTATGACCTTGAGGGAGACATTGATCCTTGACATTACTGTTCATCATCAATGTGTCAAAAACTTATTGCCCAGGGCAATAAAGGAATTCTTGATATGGTATCCATGTGATGTTTAAGCCAGGGGTCCGGAAACGGTCATATGCGCCGGACATTTCCAATTAGGAATCTCAAATGTCTGGTTTAAAATACTGCTTACCGGATATTTAAATTTTTCTGTCCGGACATTCTTAAATTTGGACCGGACATGATCTACATTTACCCGGTAGGAGTAGGCAATTTCTGTCTGCAATTGTAACACAATAAAGATGATCTACACTGACAAGCTTTGTTTGTTTTGATTGCTGTGAATACATCATACCTACATGATGGTCCAAGCGGTCAATCACTTTCAAGCTTAATCACGTCAATATCGATAACTAAGTAATATATAATAACTACGTGCAGTAATATCTAATACATACCTATGATCAGGCTGGTAAGCAAGGATGAAGCCTCCCCAACAAATGCATAATGTTATTGTCATAAACATGGTGATTTTGTGAACAAACCAGTCCAGCTCAGGGTCTGTTGGCTCCCAACCATGGCTGATCCAGTTCTGTGAAAAGAAAAAGAATCTAAATTAGACTAAACAAGAAACATATTTTTTATGTTCAAATCTTATGTTTCTAATTGACAAAATGGCTGACGCGATGATGAATTTTCTCTGTACAATGAATAACCGTACATCTTCTCCCAGTCCAATGACTTTCTATTCATCACACATGAGCAGGAACACTGTTGCTCAAGGTATACTTTGGGTACGTTGTGTTCATCCTGAAACAAAAGGGTACCTGGAAACTAGGATGGGTAACTCAGGTACTCAGGTCCGGTGAGTACTGAGTAGGATCCGGGTACCCACAGGAGTACCCAGACCTGTGGTTAGTTAGGATATATATTGTTAAATGACAAAAATTCACTATAACTCCATGGTTAACATACAAGTCAATAATGTTTGCATTTCGTTCTGAATGTGCACACATTCCTTCTGACTTTTATATGCCTGAAAAAGATTAAAGTTTCAGTCAACTAAAGAGTATGCATGACCTGATTGTTTTATAGGTGTATCCAAATACTTTTTGTCAGGGCTCTGTTAAAACAATTCCCAAATCAGACATTTTGTACCTGACATTTGCAACCTACTGCAGGTACCTGGATAGGGTCGGTTTGGATACCTGGATAGTAAATGGGTGAAATCTGAACTTGTCCCAGCCCTCCCAGGAATTTTATATAAGTGGAGCTACAGGGTTATTCTGCTCAAATAAGCACCCCCTGACCAACTCCTGGATAAGCACCCTCTGGAAATTTACATGCAAGTCCGTATTTTCAAGTGGATATTACAGATTGTTTTACAGAAAACATAGAACAAGGAAGAAGGGTATGTAATTGCCGAGTAACTATTATAAAAAAATGTTTTGGTATCACTGATGCTTGAACTACCTTATTTGACGTAAAAAGCGCCCACTGCAATATTTGCTAATATATTGGCTAGTGAACAATCCCAATTAGCACCCCTTCCGATTGATCAATGTACACAAGACTTATGTATGATATGCACACGTGTTATATGCACCCATAATTATGGTCAATTAAATTCTGGAAAAATATATCTGTCTATATATATCAGACTTTTCTTTTGTATCATTTCAGGCTGTCAGCATAAACCATGAAATTTATGATCTTTCAACTCTGGGTTTATTTTCACCAAAATTTTATTCTAGTAAGAGCCCCCTATTTCTAATTTTGAGAGCACCCTGGGCGCTTATTACGTCGAATACAGTATATTTGTTCACGACCACTCAATCTCTGAAACAAATTTTAGAAACAGCAGCCCCCTTTGTCAGTTTTCTAAGCACCCACTGGCCTGGGCTCATATTAATATGAATACGCTATTATACCTCAATCAGAATATATCTCATACTCCAATTAGTATATAACAACAGCTGGGGCGGTCGGGTAGCCTAGTGGTTAAAGAGTTCGCTCGTCACGCCACAGACCCGGGTTCGATTCCCGACATGGGTACAATATGTGAAGCCCATTTCTGGTGTCCCCCGCCGTGATATTGCTGGAATATTGCTAAAAACGGCGTAAAACCATACTCACTCACTCACTCATATAACAACAGCTGTCCTTTTACCAGGTCATTCATGGGTCTTCACTTTGAACTTACAAAGTTACATTTACCCCATAAATTGTTTTAAAGTGGGTGTGCAACATAACCAGTTATTGCAGAGCGAATTTCCCATCTCTGATGGAAATGAGTACAACTGAAAATGATATTACACGATCGGTATAACAGCATTAGAAATTGGCACTAGACCTGGAGTCCTTGCCAAACTTCCTAATAGTTTAGGTACCGTAAGGACTAGTAGAAATTTGCCATTTTTAAGGGTTTCGCTATGTGTTATCATTGTAAAGTCTAGTGGATGAAAACTGTTAGTTTCTTCCCCTGGTATGATACTTAGATCATGTAGATCAAAACTGACATATTATACACTGATCCTTCTTTGAGAGTTCATTTTATAATGCTGCACTTAGCAATATTGCAGCTTTATGACAGGACCAGATAATCCAGTGATTGATATGAGCAACAAAGCAAGTCGTTGGGGAATGATGATATGCAATCAACCAGATCACAACCCACTGCACTAAGTCTCCTCTGATGACCAGCATAGGTTAGTGGGGACTAGCTGCGAAATTGTAGCTATATACTGCTCCACTTTTTACTATCAGACATTCACTGCATATAATAGTAATACATACAGCGATGTCACCAAATCTTCAAGTGATGTGACGATATGTTGTTAACATCATGGCAGCCATGTTTGTTGTGCTTCAAGACACTATTTTAAGGATGCCAAGACCCTCTTTGTTGAGTAACCTCCTATTCACGATGTATTTACTTTGAAACAGACTGCAGATATTCTACAGTTGGCACTGACATCAGGTCCTCCTTACATGTTTTTTGGATGATTGCACTGGCAGAAGTGACAAAACCGGCAGTTTTATAGTCACTGCACAGACTTAGGTGCTACCATAAAGGTCAGTCAGGGGGGTTGGGAAGCAACAGTTGGAGATTTACTAGAAAATAATAAATATGTATAGGAAAGTTCCAATGTGCGCTACTATGGTGCCGGCAGTGTAGATATGATTCACACATTCATAAGGTTCTACTCATGTCTATGACCACTTTTGTCACCAGTCTTCACAAATTAAGTGTGAGTGAGTGAGTTTGATTTTACGCCGCTCAAATTGTTGCACACAAAAATACTCGGGGCCAAATACTCATTTGATTTTCTTTCAAGGAATAAGATCTGAAAATGACAGTAGCGGTTACCTTTGGTATGCATTTTCAAAAACGTATAAAATAACATTGAGATTTACGACAGTTTGACAACAAATACTTCACACGTGACAATGTTTTACGTTAACATGTTTGGGCATTTACGTGAATCAACGGAATCGGTTAAACGCACCTTTTCTGAGGCTGGACTGGTGTCAGCAAAATGTTTTTCTAATCTTTTTAATTCTTCAGATTTTTCCATAGGTTCGACTGTGGTTGAAATATCTTTGTTTTTCTTTGAGGTTGAAATTAAACATGCTGATTGTTGCACTTTGGGGTGACGAAGACGAACAAGACTAAGTGTTCGACCTTGCCGGGCAAGTGCCCTCATGAATGTCGCCATGTTGTTGTGGGGAAATCTCGAGATCTAACGTTCATGACGTTAGTGTAAGAAACAAAAAAGTAAACGACAATGTTGCCGTTAGTCATTCAGATCTATTTATGTGCTATTATTTGTACATTAAACGGCAAAATGATCTTATTAACATATCATTGCATAGAATTACAAGACTCCCATGATTCCTTAAAATCAAAATGGCGGCAAATTGAAGCAGACAACTCGAGACTGTCATGGATATTATTTCGGAAATACTCGATTTCAGGAAACCTTTTCAACCTTAGTATGTGACAGTCCTTTTGTTCGCTACTATTCGATTTACCACAAACCAGTATTGGTGTGATCAAGTCTAATAATGAGCAATTACTATGTCACAACTAAACATAGTAAAGAATGTGCGACATTCCAACTTATTTTGGGGAGACAGTAGGCCTATATTTGCATTCAAAAGATATTCATCGATGACATTGACATCAAAATTCAAACTTTAATATTGATACATTTATGGTAGGTATCGGACTTAAGCAAGGTATCATAATCTTGATTTTATATTTCGCAAATATCCGAGAAACACAAGTTGATGATGGAAAAATGTCGCTCATCTGTTCATTTATATATGATTAGCTGATCAGTGTCAGTTTGTGATATTGAAGACCATTAAAAACTTTTTAGTAATAAAGCTGATAAAAAAGGCATTGAAATTGAGTTGTATTGGTCCACTGTATGACTAATATTTGAGCTGCACTCTATAAAGATTGTAGCTAATTACAAATGTAGCCTCTGTTTGCATATGAGCCAATGAAAATTATCAACCTATGCAGTGCAATAAAGGAATCAAATCAAAGTGTCCAAGGAAATAAGGTTAGTTCTCATTATTCATTACATCAGTTATCAATCAAACAGCAAACATTGTTTCACATTACCCCATTCAGTTACTCACACATGTAGATCACACAACACCTTTGTCCCACCCTTAAACATGTTAAATATATTGACAGATGATCAGCTGATGACCACAGAAATATTTCACTTATGCTTATTGTTGGATGTTACAACATAATCATGGTAATCTGACGTGCATAAAAAATTCTGTTTGTATTTCAGATACGACACTGTCACCTCCATTGATGCTGTATCTGGCCGGTCTGTAAAATTGTTAATGGCTATAAATCCTCTGTTTTCAAATTACAAACCTCTGTACTCAAGTCTGAGCTGTCAAATTGTCAACATGTCAAGAGATTCTGACAAGCCTCCCGAGAAGAGACGAAGAACAGATGATGAGACTGAGGCAAAGTTTGATGAAATGTGGGATGATGAAATGGTATTCAGCCAGGCAGACATACAAAGCATTGATGTCATGGCTTCACAAGCATACACAACTAAAACAAAGAAAGAACATCCAAAATCAAATGGAGGAACTCAACCTTATCCACTTGGCAGAAAGAAGGCTAGATACCCCATCAGTACAGATGATCAACAACCTGTTCCCTGCCCATCAGTATCTCAAACCTCAAGGAAGTCTTCTACGTCACTATCTTTATCAAAAGGGTCATCCTCAACTGCATCATCAGCATATCCTTCCTCTTTGTCAAGCAATCGCGGCAGTGAAGGTGGAAATGTGTCCTCAGTATCAAGCCACAGCAGTTTGGACTCTGGGAGAGGAGACTCTAGGTTACAACAGCAGCCAACAGAGGTATGTTCTCATATTGGTTTTCCACAATGGCTTCAGAAATGGTTTGATAATAAGCAGAGTTTTAAAATTGTTATGCCTTGTAAAAAACTGAGGTTCTGGGTGGTTCCATCTCCTAATCACATGTCAAGGACATCTTAATTTACAACATTGTTGAACAGGATTTTATACATGGTATAAGGTTCTTTTGGAATTGGCCTGCAAGCAGCGTTAGAAATTGTCACTAGTGAAGCCCATTTTCCTGGTGTCCCCGCCATGATATTGCTGGAATAATACTAAAAGCGGCATAAAATCATACTTACTCACTTGTCTCTTGGACGGAAATCTGCTTTGAAACGGATTTGGTTATGATTAGTCAAAAGTCAAGGTCAGCATTCAGAGTTTTGTAAAACATGGTTCAAATATGTCATGTTCAGTTTCTGGTCACTTCTACCATGTCTACAGGTATAGAGCTTAATGTTTGCATTTTTTAACAAATCCTTCCACGTCAAATGTCATTTGGATTTCCGCCAATGTTAAGGTCACCTTTGTGGTAGTTGTGATAAGTGGTTATGAATATGACACACACAGTGCCATTTAGAAAAGGGTCAAATAGAATCTGCATCTGGGGACCCCTAAATCTTTGACGTATAGCATTAGCAATTACCAATAGCAATGACAAGGAGCAAGGAATCAAGGACCCCTTGACTTTCATGCTGAATTCCGAACACTGTTGATAAAGCAATTTATGTTTCTTCACAGTGGTTAAGGTGAATTCCAATACATGTGTGACTTGATATACATGATATAGAAGGCATCATTACTTTCAGTTTGTTATGTACTACAGTTTGTTGTCTCCAGATATCTCTCACTTCAGAGACCCGTGGAGGTCTGTGGGTATAATAGATCTTCAGCAACCCATGCTTGCCGTAAAAGGCGACTATGCTTGTCGTAAGAGGCGACTAAGGGGGATCGGGTGGTCAGGCTCGCTGACTTGGTTGAAGCATGTCATTGATCCCAATTTGCGTGGATCGATGTCTGGTCCAGACTCGGTTATTTACAGACCGCTGTCCTATAGCTGGAATAATGCTGAGTGCGGCGTAAAACAACAAACCAATCTAACTTCAGAAATGACTTGCTTGTTGTTGTCCAGATATTGGCATGATTTAAGTTCTCACAAATATTTCAGAAAGCTGAAGTTAAAGACAACTTGTATGCTAAAGATGGTGAGATTAAGATCCTGAGAGAATCCCTGAAAAGGAGAGAGGCAGAGTTGGTTAAGATGCGAGAAGATCATGCTCATCTTATTGAACAAATGAATTCACAGAAAGCTTCATTGAAAGAAGCCTTAAAAACTGACACAGATAGATTACAAACCCAGCTGCAGTTCCGGGATCAGGAATTTAAAGAACTTGAGGAGAGATGTAGACTCATGGAACAAAGGATCCAGGCTTATCACTCAGGGTCCCCGTTGAAACATTCAAGCCCCACATCTCGGAGTCCTGCCAGTAGGAAAGTGAGACCAGACGCTTCACCACATTCTAAATCTTCCTTCCCTTCAAGACAGAGCTTCATGTGTAATGAGAGAGAATCTAGTGAACCAAGCCAATCTACAAGCACTGCACAACAGGAACCTAGTTCTCAACAGGTGTTGAGTAAAGGTGAGTGATGCTAGCAACCATACTGAGACAATTACCGGTATGTCTTGTGGATAGTCCCCTGTTTTGTTTGTTAGCTCACCTGACTGAAGGTCAAGTGGCTGCCACAAAAGCCATATTGACAAGGCTTTTTATGCCATTACTGTCATTTTTGAAAGTAGAGATAATTTATGAATAACAACTTCTTTATTTACTGTTAAGGCGACATTTTGGTTGCTTGACAACCGTATACAGATCTATACTGAAATGTTGCCTTTATGGTAAATAAAGAAGTTGTTATCCATGAATTATCCATGAATTATCTCTACTTTTTCATCCGTCAACTTGCCTAGTAATGCCTATCAAACAATTCATGTGTCATTTTTGTTCAATATGTAAGAAAATGTGGCACATGTGAAGTATGTAGTTGGGGGTAACATATAAGTTCTGTTGTTTCTTATATTTTAGATTTTGAACTTTGACCAAGCTACTAAGTTCTCCAAAAATGCTCTTCCTCATACGATAAACATGACCTTCCGTGTCTCAAGTAGTATCAGCAACTCAATGTTGGGGGCCAATGTCCAAGGTGTACTACATACTTTTTACAGGGCTACATATGTTATTTCTGGAAGTGACATTAACTTCCACTTCCATCACAATAATGTCACCCCATGGGGATTCTTGGTTAGAACAGCAGCGGTAGAAACTAACATATTTAGCCCACTAGTCCTTATAATGATATCGTATAGCAAAACCCGTAAAGGTAAATTTTCTAATACAGTCCGTTTGACTCCAAATGAGAACGATGAATTGCAAAATAACTCGATATCCAGAAAAGTGTATGAAACATCAATACGGTACTTGACCATGAATACCCTGTACCCAACAAAATCTGAATTTTGTTTAATTTAAGACCCATGACGGATGAAGTTCTTTAAGAAACTATCATGTAATTTTGTATAGAAATGTGTACATGACACGTAGGTGGACAAACCGTGGAAGGAACAGCGCAAGCACGGTCTGCACGTGCTACACAGTGACCGTGTTCATTCAATGACAAGATGCGCTACTCAGCAGATGTTAAACAGTTGATGTTGAATGTGTATGATTTCTTTAGAAGTGAAGCAGAAAGAGCAAAGCCTTTTTATGCAATTAATAAAATCTTGAAACGAGCTTCAAAAGCTCTAGGTATGTCCCCTCAGAAACTTTAAAATGTTGTTAGTGGACGAGATACAAATAGTGAGGCCAAGGAGGTAGGGAACATGTCAAAACCATGCAAGGTTGATAAATTACTCAGTTTTCAGAGGGATCAAGTCAGACGTGCAATTGTTAAACTGCACTCAGAAAATAAGTACCTGTCAATAAGAATTTTGAAGAAACACCTTGAAACTGACCATGATTTACGTGTTACAAAGTACAAACTATGGCAGCTGTTGCATACATTTGGTTACAAATACAAAAAGATAACTGGAGAAAATAGGGCTGTGTTGTGTGAACGGTCTGACATTGTTCGTCTCCGAAATCATTACCTTCGTACCAAGCAGAAACGTGAAGAAGGATATGAGCCCGTCTTCTTAGATGAGACATGGGTAAATGCGTCACACACAGCCAGCAGTCAGTGGGTACCCAGTGGTGACTGTAAGGAGTCTGGTAGAAAGTTACCAATGGGAAAGGGTGAAAGACTCATAGTTCTCCATGCTGGTTCTGCTAGTCAGGGTTTCCTCCCAGACTGTGACCTCGTCTTTAGAGCCAAGGCCAAAGACAACAGGGACTACCACACAGAAATGAACGGCAATGTATTTCTGGAGTGGGTGAAAGATAAATTAGTCCCAGCTTTGCCTACCAAGTCTCTCATTGTCATGGACAATGCACCGTATCATAGTGTGCAGGATCCAGAAAGCAAGACTCCAACTTCTAATAACCGTAAAGGAGACATGGTTACTTGGCTGCAACAGAGAAACTTTACCTTTCCTTCTCGAGCGACGAAACCACAGCTCTATGAAATCATCAAAACTATGAAACCTGACCCTGTGTATAAAGTTTACAGTTACATCAAGGGTCAGGGTCACGCTGTCTTACGACTGCCACCTTATCACTGCGACCTGAATCCAATCGAGGTTGGTATGGGGCATCGTCAAGGGTGACGTTGGACGATCGACGTTGGACGTTGTTGAACAACTCGTAAAGGAATCCCTTGGTCGGGTAACAGTAGAAACATGGAGGCATTGTGTGGCCACAGTCGTTGACGAGATAGAGCCATGTTATTGGTCACGAGATGGACTACGGCCAGCAACAGTCCAACCTATATTAGTGGCAGTTGGTTCAGGCACCAACAGTTCCGACGACGAGATCTATGGCATGAGAAATGTGGTTGAATGAGCACTTTGATACAGAGTTATGCCCGCTTTTGCAGGAATGACCAAGTCGGTCGGAGTGAAGCCAGGGACACAGAGGAGTAGAAGACATGTCCTCAACACAAGTATGACCAGAGGTAACACTTGGCATGGGTTGTATTTCAGTACTGGTGGCAGAGTTAATGTTGTGATGGCAAGGTTTTATTTGTTTGTTGTTTACGCCGCATTCAGCAATATTCCAGCTATATGACGGCAGTCTGTAAATAATCGAGTCTGGACCAGACAATCCAGTAATTGATATCATGAGCATCGATCCACTCGATTGGGATATGATGACATGTATGAACCAAGTCAGGGAGCCTGACCACCCGATTCTTTTAGTCGCATCTTACCACAAGCATAGTCGCCTTTTACGGCAAGCATGGGTTGCTGAAGATCTATTCTATCCCGGATCTCCACAGATTGGCATGGTTTGGATAAGGTCCCAGTGCCTGAACATGCTGAAGGGCACCTTTTCAAATCATATGTTTAAACAACACCTTATGACAGTGTTTATTATATGAAACCACAAATAAACATGATAAACACAAGTAAAATAATGAACATGTGAACACACTTCATGAAGAGTATGATTCACAAAATAAATTTGTGTATTCAGAAATGAAGAGGTAATATCACCGTCTGTGCCTAAACCTTTTGTGATTACTAGCCTGAACTGGGCTCTTGGCATCATTTTCAATAGAATTTAGTGTTTATGTGGACTATCAGCAGTATGAGATATGTGATATGGTGTTTCCTGTCAATTTCAACAGGGGAGGTAACTGGTCCCTGTCTTGTGTACCACATGTATGAGCATCATCCAGCGGGTCCCCAGGATCCCGGCGACCATGGGGTGATTGGACTGCTGCATTCACCCGCCACCCACCTCGACCTGCACAACATACAGTTCGACAGAGATTCAACCTCACATATCCTGTCACCAGTTAGAAGCAAACGGTGAACTTTTATTTTGGGAGGGAATTCAAAATAAACAAACCTGTTATTATTTTTCTTTACTAAATGAGGAGCGAAGTGTCATTTGAGGGAAATGGGAATTAACTGTTTGTTCACTCAGGACCTAGACCATGTAGACTAACTTTTTATATACTGTTGATAGACACAAGCATTTAAATTGAAAAGGAATCATAGTGAGAAGGAGATTCAGAAACTGAACCCGTAAATCTTGACTTCCTTTCAGGGACTGCTGGACAGACTGTCTCAGGAAAATACCCATGCACTTGGCTTTAACCAACATGTAACATATACAAAACTTCACACAAACTGGAATGTGATAACACAACTGAATACTGTTTGAAGGAGCATTAAATCCAACTCACTCAATTGTCATTTGTTATACAGTTGAGATATAGTGTGAATACGTTTTGCTGTTACCCGCAGGTTGTCTGACCTCCATGCCAGTCTACAGAGTGCGGAGAGTGCCGACACGTGCAGTGTTGTACCCAGAGACCACTACCTCATGGCCGTGGAGGGTCTCCAGGACTTGCTCAAGTCCTTGTCACAGTGCAGTGATACTGTCCCGAACACTGACCCACACCTCGCTCACACACAGGAACTGTCGGGAGCCGTGCTGATCCTGCCCCTTATAAATGACTACCTGTCTCATTACCTTGATATATTAAGCAACGCCCCGGCTCCAGGGTCTTCATCAGGGACATTGAATTCCAGTTTGGGTCGGGGGAGTGTTAGTGAAAGCTCCCTGGAATCTGTGACAAGCTCCATTGGTTTGTTACTGAAGGACTATCAGAGTTCGGCCAATAATTTAGAGTGTTTATGTTTGACTTCTTTACGGACTTTGCACAAACTTGTGATGTTCAGTGCAGCTGTGAGGAGGTCCCTGATGGACAAGACAGACTGGAACCACAACCGATCAGATGCTAGTTTGGATGGATACCGGGCCTCAGGTGACAGCTCTGCATCAGGGGTAGGCCCTTGTTTTAGCCCAGTTTTTATGTATCTTCCATCATATGACCAAGTGTAGGCCTCTCTATCAGTCGTCCAGTCCATTTTAATCTTTGAGTTGCCAGCAGCATACCTATGCTGTGGGGTTCATCTGTCTTATGTCTATGAAATACATGTACCAGTATTGGGGATTTCTTGATCTAACTGAAATACTGTTCAAAGCAATGTTTATTTTTGCCTGTAAATAATAATAATAACTCCATGAATGATGATGATGATGATGATGATGATGATGATGATGATGATGATGAAAGTATTAATGTATGTATCAGTATATTTGGTTTATACTGTCTCTAGCATGGGGCCTTGCTTTGAAAAGGATTACGTGGTTATATCATTGTCAGTTTCTGTGGCAAGATTTCAATATTTTACATAAAGCATAATTTTGGCATGTATTTCTACAAATCCGACCACATTTGATCTTGATAGGCATAGATCTAGGTTATCTTTGAGATTATTGTGAAACATGGTTGTACCATTTAATTTATTGCCAGCTACTGTTGCACTTTTACTTGTACAGTTTTGACACTTGGGTATTGTTGGATCTGAATATGTTATCTTAAATAAGGTCCTAGGTCTGGAAGTAATGTGTTTGACTGGAAGTACATGGTGGTATTTTAAGACTTAAGATTTGAGTAAATGGAGGAAGGGTATGTGGCTGCTTCTGTGTTTGCAAACACTAGTTTGTTCAGTGCATATTTTATTTCCTTGTTGATTCGTTGTAGGAAGTTGCCATGGACACAGACATCCCAGTTACATCTTCCTCCGATAATGACACAATGTCCTTGGATTCCCGAGTGACGTTCAGACAGTTACAAGAGCTCAACCTGCTGAACAAGATCGTCAAGCTTGCACACCCACAGGGCGAGGTCAGTTTCACAAGCATCCCTGTGGGAATATCAGGGGATGTCATCAACATTCGTAAATTATTGTCAGACTGTTCCAGCCAATCAATCTGAAGTAATGATCTGCTGCTAGAATTTTGTTATTTTACAATATATACAATTCAAGTTCATTTTGTAATTGTATTACCGTATTTGACGTTATAAGCGCCCACGGCGATATTTGCTAATATATTGGCAAGTGAACCGCCCAATTAGCACCCCTTCCGATTGATCAATGCACACAAGACTTATCTATTCGTGTATAATACGCACTCATGTGTTATATGCACCCTTAATTATGGGCAATTAAATTCTGGAAAATATATCTGTCGTATATAAACAGTTCAGGCTGTCAGCATAATCCACGAAATTTATCTTCCAACTCTGTTTTTTTTCTACCAAAATAATATTCTAATAAGAGACCCCTATTTCCAATTTTTGAGAGCGCCCTGAGCGCTTATTACGTCGAATACGGTAATTAAGAATTGACTTCTACTTTGTATGAGATCATTGGAGTATGATCCTTGCAACGACATTCTCCCCGAGGCAAGTGAGTTAACTGACTATAAAAGTCCAGTTTCCACCCTTGCCGAACTAGGCTGGTATTATGGAGTTACATTTTGGCTGGACTAACGAGTTTATGCATAGTCCAATCAAAATCGCGCACCCAAATCGAAATCCGGTTCGTAAAGTGTCATGCAGATTTCGGTCGACTGCAGGATTTGCAAAGCATGTGCACCGCTAACTCGTTGTCAACAGATATTTTCTAAATCTATTCATGTTTTTAATCAAGGTGCTCACGTGATTTGATGCACTTCGCGATGTAACACTCGTTTTATCACAATATAGATCTTGATTATCGATCAGATCGTCTTGACTGGGCGCCACCGTTTTGTTTGAAGCAAATGCATGTGATACGAGAGGTTGAATCTGATTGGTCAATAGGAGAGGCATGGAAAGGACATGACTCGTAATAGCCACTGGTGGCGCTACCATTGAGCCCAGGAATTCCAGCCTAGTTCTGCAAGGGTGGAAACTTGACTTTGAGAGTCAGTTAACTCTCTTGCCTCGGGAAGATGTGCAACGACATTCATACAATGTTTGACTCTCACTCTATGAAGGTTCATAATCCAATGAACTCACACAAAGTGAAAGACAATACTTATAATTCTCTTTCAGATTAAATCCTCCTTGGGGCACTTATTGCATTTTCCTGGCTCAAGAAAATCTACATGACATAGTTGTAACCATTTTCCTTAATAAAAATTGTTACCACACAAAAAACTTTGTTTTTTTTTTGTATGATATACGTCCACCCTTATGGTGCCTCACCCTCCACGGCGCGTCACGCCAAGGGAAGCAACTCTCACCCAAATCACTTTCCTTATGTCATCTGACAAAGACAGACGTGCCGTTTTTTTCAAGACAAAATAAAGACAAGATAATCGTTCGTACAAGAACCATGGCAGACCAAACTGTATGTATGGTACATTTCTTTCATGCAAAGGCGTAATACCTCGCATTGTAAAGTTATAAAGTTGTAATTATGTGACACGTGTACGATACCTTTGAAATGAAGGCCGTCGTAGCGTCCATTTTGTAGTGCCACGTATGATATATGTAACACCAGGGCCATCAAAAACGGCTTCGGTTTTTTATTCTATATCATCGGGCTTTAGCCTACAATCTTTTCCTTTAAATAAACCCAAGGTGGTGTGTTAATTATTTTAAATTACACTTACCTTTTTTACGGGTTTTCTACACCTTCGCGCGTAACACGCCCACTTTGGTGTTATAATTATACTACGACATTGGCTATTAGTATCGCGTTACCAATCGCATTCTAAATTACGCCTTTGCTTCTAGTTACACAATTTATGCACGTATCTTTCCGATCTTTCAATCGCACTGATACACTTTATTACCCTTCCCGCCAAACTCAAAAATTACGGTCTTTTTTACAGACCTTCAAACTGTGTACGGGGTGCTCGGCTTCGATTCCCCCCCAAGACAGGCATGATACTTGCATAAGGTGTTTGGCCGAAGACGGGCATGACGATGGGTCATGCCCGATCTGTGTTGCATTCACACCACGGGCGCAGAAAAAGAGCAATGTGGACCTCTTACACTTTAAGGGTCTATTGAAGGCGGGGGTGGACATTAGATCGGCAAAGACCGCCCCGCCCCCCTCAAAAAAAGTAAGAAAGGGTAAAAAGGCAGCTGAGACTGTCTCCTCCGCTCCCTCCCCGGGGGCCGGGGGAGAAGGCTCTAGGGTCCCCGTCACAATCACTGCACCCTCTCCTGCACCGTCTTTGGCAGACATCTCTGCCTTGTTGAGGTCGCAGATGGCGTCGATGATGGAGGAGGTAAAGTCTCAGCTCCGAGAGGAGTTGCGGACCGAGCCTTCCCCGTTGTCGGCGCCGGACGCGGCTTCGAGACCTTGTGATATGCCCGGCGTCGGCCGAGGCAGGCCACTTGGTCTCGGGGACGAACTCAGACCGGGCTTCGGCGCCGGCTCGAGGTCGCTCCCCAGCGGAGGGGTGGCGGGCACTGGCCCGTTCACTACCGACGCACAGTTCTCCCTAGCGGAGCCAGACGCCTCTTCCGAGGCCGAGGCTTCCTCTAGCGGATTTCTAGCCCAGAGCCATGTGGGTTCCCTTGAACCCCCGGCACCTCAGGACCGGGACTCGGCTTCGGGCCGGGTGCAGCCCGGGGATGCGAAGGCCCAGGCCTTCGGGCGTCCCCTTCCGACTTCGTCTGCCTCTTCTCTCGGGGAAGAGTCGATTAATTTCGGCTCGGAATCGAGAGAGGAGGAGTGGATGGAGGAGGGGGGAGACGACTCAGAGACCTCGGGAATATTTTCCTTCGTTTCCTCGTTGAGGCATGTACGGGACAAGATTGTCCAGGTACTGCCTCAGGTGGCTGCGCCCATGCCCCAGTCGGATCCGACTGAGTTCCGCCTTCCGGGGGACGCTTTTGCTCCGAGCAAGGCGCCCCAGGTGCGGCTCCGTATTCTGTCTTCATTGGTGCATGAAGTCATCAACCCTCTGTTGTCGGGTGCCCGCAGGAAGTTCGACCTGCCCGAACTTATTAAGCGGTACCCGTTAGCAGAGGATGGTGATTTTGAGGTACCGGTGGTGGACGAATGCGTCTGGACCTCCGTTACCCTGGGGGGGTCTTCGACCCCCAACTTGGCTAAGGTCAAGCAGGGCCGGCGGTTGCCACCCTTTCCCGCGTGCGGTACGGAGCTGAAGGCTGCTTACGTTTGCTTCGAGGAGCAAAATCGTAACGCATGTCAGCAGCTCCGGGTGTCCGTACACTCCGCTTATCTGTCGGCCGTACAGAGGGAGTTAGCGGGAGAGGGGCCGGCCGACTCTTCGGAGTTGGCCGCGCAACTTACGGAGGTACATAGTCATCTTGCGAGGGACGCTATTCGTAGCTGTGCCTCGCAGATGATGTGCGCAGTCATGGGCATGCGCAGGCTGTGGATGTCGGTATCCAAATACTCGGCTTCCACACGCCAGGATCTACTTGCTTTGCCTTATAAGATGGGTGCCACCCTCTTCCCTGGGGCTCAGCCGGTGGTCCGAGAGGCCGCACAGTTGTATGCCTCCATCAAGGATTCTAAGGCCTTGTTGGAGGTACCATGCGTTAAACCGCGTAAGCGGACCTCTCCACTTGCTTCCTCCTACGCTGACGCGCCGGGTCAGAAGTCTGCACCTGCTTGGAAGCAGCCGCTTCCTTCAGGTAAGGGCGCCGGGAGGAGCAAGAGAGGCAGGGGCCGGGGCAGGGCAGCTGGTCGAGGCCAGCAGCCTTTTCGCGGGGCCGGGAACCCATCGGGTTCCCATTAGCACCCGAAGCGCCCCGGGCGGACCCACGGTCGCATGTTTTCGAAATGCCGACAGCCGGGGTCCGCTGCCTCAAGCCGGATGTCCCCGTAGGCGGCCGACTGGCTCTATTCCTGCAGGAATGGGAGACAGTCACATCCAATCCCTGGACCCTGTCCACTCTAAGGGATGGCCATTTGCCTCGGTGGAAACATCATCCGCCCCCCTTCTCCGGGATAAAGCACACTCCGGTGCCTGCTACCCTGGAGAGGGCGGAATTCCTCCGTGCCGAGGTCGACGCACTTCTTATGAAGGCTGCGATCGAACCGGTTCCCGTGGGACAGGAAAGCGACGGCTTCTACTCGACATATTTCCTAGTCACCAAAAAAGACGGAGGGTTCAGGCCTATTCTCAATCTGAGAAGGCTGAACAAACTTATAGAGGTACCGTCCTTCAGGATGGAGACACTGCGCTCGGTGATCTCAGCTGTCGAGACCGGAGAATGGCTAACGTCAATAGACCTAAAAGACGCCTATCTCCACGTACCCATACACCCCGAGTTCAAGAAATACCTCAGGTTTTCTTTCGACGGGAGGTGTTATCAGTTCAGGGTTCTACCATTCGGGATCGCTACGGCCCCGAGGGTGTTCACCAAGCTGATGTTGATTCCCGCCCAAGTGGCCAGGTCAAAAGGTCGGTTCTGCCATCCGTACCTCGACGACTGGTTACTAAGAGCTCTATCGCAATCCCTGAGTCAGATAGCTACACAACAAGTGATAGATATTCTGATCACTCTAGGGTGGATAGTCAATCTCAAGAAGTCAGATCTGAGCCCTACTCAGAATCTAGTCTTCCTAGGGGCGAATTTCAACACGGTGAGCGGACTTGTATCTCTGTCACAAGATCGCATTACCAAGGTCAGAAGTGTTACTTCCCAGTTCCTTCTGTCCGCCAGTCACACTGCTCGTACATGGCTCCAGTTACTGGGCAACATGGCGGCGACAGTGGATGTGGTTTGGCGGGCGCGCTTGAGAATGAGACCCATTCAACAAGCGCTCCGTCGACTTTGGGTGAACTCGGAAGATCTCGAGACTGTTCTCGAGACTCCGCAGTGGCTCAATGCACACCTTCAGTGGTGGACCGAGGTCGGGAATCTGTCCCGGGGGCTCCCCCTCGACACTCCCGTGCCGTCTTTCACAGTTCAAACAGACGCGTCACTCTCCGGCTGGGGAGGCGTTCTGAACGATCACACTGCCTCGGGACTATGGTCCCAGCAGGAGATCAAACTGCATATCAATGTGCTAGAACTGAGAGCGGTCAGGTTGGTGTTCCAACGCTTCCTGGATCTGCTTCGTGGCCAAGTGGTGCGTCTAGAGATGGACAACCAAACGGCGATGACTTACATCCGGAAGCAGGGGGGAACGGTGTCTCCGTCGCTTCTCCAAGAGACGTGGCAGTTCCTCCTATGGTGCGACTCACACGTTATCAGGGTGCTACCTGTTTATCTCCCGGGGGTAGACAACGTCCGTGCGGACGCTCTGTCTCACCGGATCCTCGCTCCTCACGAGTGGAGGCTCGACCCGGGGATATTCGGGATTATCTCCCAGTTATACGGGTCGTTCCAGGTGGATCTGTTTGCGTCTGGGGTGAATCACCAGACACCAACGTTCTGCTCCCGAGTCCCCGACCCGAGGTCGGTGGCACCGGACGCCTTCCAGCTAGATTGGACGGACAGAATACTGTGGGCATTCCCCCCAGTACCTCTGATTTCCAAGGTCCTGTCTCAGCTAGCCACTCAGCCTGCGCGACTACTTGTGCTCCCGGCACCCCTTTGGTCGGCGCAGAGTTGGTTTCCAGTCATACTCAGGTTTCTGGCTCAGCCTCCTGTTCTATTACCTTTACGACCGGACCTCCTATCCCAGAACGAGGCCCTCCACCCGAATCCCAGGATTCAGTGGGTGGCTTGGCCACTGTCCGGAATCGCCTCCAGGAGAGCGGTATTCCTGCACGAGTTGCAGACACAATACTGGCTTCGCGGAGGGATTCGACAAACGTTCAGTACGAGGATAGATGGGCCTGCTATGCGCGCTGGTGTGTCGATAGAAGGATTGCAGATCCCTTTTCTGCAGATCTCGTAGCCGTACTTGAGTTCCTCCAGTCGCGACTAGATGTCGGCCTGGCCGCATCGACTGTCCGGGGGTACTCTACAGCTATCGCTGCCTTTCACGTCCCCGTCGACGGGGCACTTTTGGGTGCGCACCCATTAGTGCAGCGTTTTTTAGCAGGTGTGGACAGGATCCGACCGCCTGTCCGGCGGATCAGTCCCCCTTGTGAATTGTCAATCGTTCTTGATTGGCTGTCCGGTCCATTCTTTTCGGGATCTGTCGTCTCTCTCTCTTCAGCTGTTGAGCTGGAAGACGGCGTTCCTTGTGGCGGTAACGTCCGGCAGACGGGTAGGCGACATTCACGCAATGTCAGCCGATCCCGAACTAACTGTCTTTCACCGGGACAGGGTCAGTATTCGCCTGCCGGACTCTTACCGTCCTAAGGTCGCACACGCCTTCCACGTGACGGCTCCTATTGAGCTACCTGCTCTTTCACAGCCTTCCTCGTCGGGGACCACTACAAGACATGCTCATGTCTTGGATGTCCGCAGGACCCTTAAGTCCTATATCAGCAGAACTAAGGGTATCCGTAAGGATAATCAACTATTTTGCTGTTATGGCGGTAGGAAGGCTGGCTCACCTGCGAGCAAACAAACTATCTCGCGGTGGATAGTCTCTACTATATGTACGGCGTACACGCTTCAAGGCAGGGACCCCCCTACCAAGTTGAAGGCTCATTCGGTTAGAGCAGTGGCTACGACACAAGCGTATGCTGCGGCTCTGCCCATTGAGGAGATCTGCTCCGCGGCAGCCAGCCGAGCACGTTCATCAAACATTACCAACTCGACAAACACTCAAGCGAGCGTGCTCGGTTTGGTCAGTCAGTTCTCCGAACTGGGCAAAGTTCTACATCTCTAGCCGATTGAGCCTTCGAGATTTTAGACCGCCCGGACCGGTTATAACACTGCTCAGTAACGGTCCGGATTTTATCTTCTACGGTCGATACAATACCAGCCATTACTAGTCGATAATCATCGTAATTGCACATGCACTCCTTCGATTACGGGGACCCTCTGGCCTAGCTCTGTGCGGGTTTATAGTCTCTCGTGATCTGTGCCCCCAATATCACTTGTTCAAAAAAGTGGGTGGGGTGGGGGGTGTGTGTGTCTCGAGTTCTCGATATGATAAGCCACAAAGAATGGCTCTTTTCATTGTGTATGGTCTCCAGCCCCCGCCTTTCGACGGTGGTGCCTCACGATAAGGTTGGTTCCATTTATTGAACTCTTGTTTATTCATTGAAATAATCAAAATACGATGTATTTTATGCACGCTTGTTGCTGACGGATGCCACTTCCTAGATTATCTTTAGGAGTCTATCTTGATGCAATAAGTGCCCCAAGGAGGATTTAATCTGAAAGAGAATTTTACAAACCTGTAGAGGTTATGAATTCTCTGATGAAATCCTCCTTGGGGCACGGCCACCCGCCTCCCCACATTCCGTCAGCATTAGACATATGGAAAGTGATTTGGGTGAGAGTTGCTTCCCTTGGCGGGACGCGCCGTGGAGGGTGAGGCACCATAAGGGTGGACGTATATCATACAAAAAAAAACAAAGTTTTTTGTGTGGTAACAATTTTTATTAAGGAAAATGGTTACAACTATGTCATGTAGATTTTCTTGAGCCAGGAAAATGCAATAAGTGCCCCAAGGAGGATTTCATCAGAGAATTCATAACCTCTACAGGTTTGTAAAAGTTTTATGGCATTATTTTTACCTGAAAGGATGTAGACCCTGATCTGTACACAATTATATTTAGTATGTGTGACTTCATGTTTACACTGACAGCATACAATAACCAGCTGTATCTCGGAATAAAATAGTTCCTCAAAATGAGAGGTGACATGAGCGTATGTATGCTCAACTTGCTCTACAGGGACAACGTTTATAGTTTCTTGGGAACAAATGTATTCAAATAATATCACCATTAGATGGGAAAGGTCTGTTACGAACTACCTCAGTCCTCAGTCAGTCACAATGACAGCAGGTCGTAATACATTTACACCAAGTACAAGCTGTCAAAATGGCCAATGCAATAAACGTGACAGGAGATATTTCTGAAGTTTTTAATGAACATGTGGCTATTACAAGTTTTAATCATCACTGATCAATTGGCCAATCACTGAAAGGTGAAAGATGTGTAAAATAGGCACAAAGGTACATTCATTTATTGCTGTAGACTGTCACTGTAGTCTAGATACAAATTGAGTCGATACTACAGTAGTTTGGATGTGCTTTTCTTTGTTTTATTCTCTAGGATGGGTTGTACCAAGGATATCTTTGAACAGACATGCAATCAAACTCTCTGACTTATCCCAATGTATGCTAAAACGATAAGTTGAGGATTAAAGGGCCTAAATGATGAGAAAGGAGCTTCTGTATTTATTCGTGCATGGGAAGTCCCAGGGGTTTACCCCATTCCAAGAACACGGTCTCATGAAAACAGTATAAACGTCAAATTAAGTCTTTCAAAGGCATACACTTATAAAGTCAATTTCACGGTCATGTGACCAACCTCTTAAAAGCTGTATTTCTGCACATTAAAGAATTAGTTTTCATTGATCTTAGTGTATGGTAAAGCACAGTGTGTTGAAAATGACCTGCACCAGCAAGCATTGATGGATAGATATGGCCACTAGTCTGTTTGTCCCAGACTAGTTAAGATTTGGAGGGTCTAGTTGTTTTCGTCCAAAAATCGAGTCACATCATAATAAACAACTGGTCCTAAGTGTGCTGTAGACTACCTGGATAAGACCAGCAGTGTCTACCCAGGCAGGTCAGCAACATAACAGAATGTAACAGCGTACATCCAGGTGAGCTCCTGAATGTGAGCGCTCTGTTCAGTAAGATGTTATGTTATGTTTTCCTCCCAGCTCTTTCAGAAAACCTCCATGTTTTATGTGTTTCAGTCCTACAATGTGTGTATGGTAGAGGAAGCACTCAACATCATCATTCTGTTAGCCAGCATCTGGAAGGATGACAATCATTTCAGGTAGACAGCAATGTAAATCAGTAGTTCAAATTTGACAAGACACAAACAGCACTGGTGGCCCAGTGGCCCTTCAGCTGTGCCAGAATCTGTTGATTTTGTATTTAATATTTTTCCAAGATTAAAACGTCGTCATATTTCAGTGCTGATGGCTCGGTTAAAACGGTAATAGCCTACAAGGGAACACAATTATGCATAACAACATCATTCTTTGACTGTAACAGCGAACGTTTCCATATAGATCCTTATACCATTGTCAAGCAAGATCTAGCTTTAAAATAAGATCTCAGTGCCTGACACCTGCCTGAGGGGAACAGTAAGATTTTTGTATATATAACAACAGCACCCTGTGACTGTGTTTATTCACACAAATAAACATAACAAACACTTGGAAAGTGATTAACATGTGAACATGCTTAATGCACAGAAGATCCATGAAGATCAAGGGTAGATTAGGTCTTCAGCAACCCATGCTTGCTGTAAAAGGCGGCTATGCTTGTCGTAAGAGGCAACTAACGGGATCGAGTGGTCAGGCTCACTGACTTAGTTGATGCATGTTATTGAATCCCAGTTGCGTGGATCGATGCTCATGATATCAATCACTGAATTAGGTCCAGACTCAATTATTTACTGACCGCCATCATATAGCTGGCATATTGCTAAGTGCTGCGTTAAACAACAAACAAACAAACAAACAAATAATGCACAGTATGATACACAAAATAAATTTGGGTATTCACAAATGAAGAAGGGTATTATCAGTCTTAATTGAAAAGGAAGGGGGCACATTTTGTAAACTATGACTGCTTATCATGTAGCCTTGGTCAGATGACAGTCAACAAGTTCTAAGACAACTAACTCGATAAATGATGTTGAAACACTGAAGTGTGATGTTTTTTTAGCACACTTGGGTCTTACTTTGAGCCTTGAAAACACCTTGAAAAGGCCAAAATTTGTTCGCTAAAAGTTTGTATGGATCATTTGAAATTATATGTATGATAGAGACTGAAGCTTATCATGTCTCATATTACCTGAGAGTATTAACGAGATGCACCAGTGCCTTTGTCAGTTGCTTCCATGTTCCGGGTAGAACTATAGGTCCCCAGCAACCCATGCTTGCCACAGGAGGCGACAAAATGGTAGGTCAGAAGCTGAATTGTTTGAGAAAGCTAACATCTGATTGGCTCAAGAACCAACACATCCTTCATTTAGATTGGATGGTTCTTCTATGGAGGAGTCATCAGATCTTCACACAGTATTGTATTTTGTTGGTGTAAAGTAACTGACTTTAAATGAGATTGTCGATGCTAATACGGGTACATTCAGGTATTGTTCATCATGTTCATGTTTCAGGTTACATTCTGCCATGGCAAGAGGTGCCTTGTTGACCTGCCTGGAGTGCAAGGTCGGCATGACCCAGTGGGGCATCATCACACGGGCAGTCACAGTACTAGGGCATCTCACACGCACACAGAAAGTTGTACAGGTTCTCTGTACAAAGTCAGGTAACTCCACTTGCTCTGATGTTTTTTCTGCCCTGAGAATACAGAGGAGGGGTGCAACAGAGGAAATATTTCTACACTTGGAAGGTTCATAGATGACAGGGTATACTAAGTGTGAACACATTAAAACACTGTGTCTAACTCACTTGGTGATGTTTCAAACAAATACATGACTACTAAACTCAAATTGTTTTGTATCGAAAAATGCCTGTATCTGGTGTCTGTGGTAACTCTTAAGTGTCATTTCAGTAAGCATGGTAAGATGGACAGCAATAATTCTTGATACACAAACACAGTATGCTTCCTGGAATAAACCTAACATGCAAGCTGCCATCAACATGCCCATGATCTCTGTCCACAGAGATTTCAATGCCTCAGTTATCTCAGTAGGGTCGATGTGTGTCTAACATGTGTTAAAGGTGTCCTAAGGCTAGTGGAATTTCAGATTTTTTCTGGAGTGTGTGTCTTTGTATGTAACCATTAGTCTGCCTCATAATTGTCTCAAACTTTGTTGCATCCCTGCCTCAGTTGAAAAGGTTCTTGTCAGCCAATGGCTGCTTCTGCCATTATTTCAAAACAAACAGAAATAGAACATTCATGTACAGTAAACTACAGTTTTAACGAATTCATAGAGACCACTAATGTTTGTTCGTTATAACCGTAGTTCGTTATAAGCATATATACCAGTACAGCATATAAGCAGTTAATGGACGGGACCAAAACACGGTTTGTTATATCCGTCAGTTCATTATACACAATGTTATAAGTACATGTCTGTTCGTTATAAACATAGTTTACTGTATTTGGATTCATCAAGTTTAGTGAAAGGTAGTTGATTCAAGGTTTTTCATTTTATATATTTTGTTTGTTATGACAATAAACGAATTTGCGTACCCGGTATGTTGATGGTCAATACCTTTCATGTTGTTAGAGGCGTGTCCCCTCCTGCATCTGTACCTGGTGAGCCTGAAGCTGACGGACGACACAGTCTGGGACACCCGGGAGGTCATCTATCAACAGGTCAGCCCCCTTTGTTCTTTCTTTCTCCCTATCATATTATGATGAACTTCAGGATCTGGTATTAGCAGAATAGTTAATTAGGAGATAAACATACTGTGTTTTTAATATAGAGCTAGGTTACTTATATATTTGAATATGAAACCAAACATGCAGCATGACGTTTCAAATGTTAATCACAGTATGTTTATCTCCATTCTACCATGACTAAAAAAACAGCAACTTCTATGGTGATAAAAAATACATTGAGTGAAATGACATGGGTTGAGTCTAGTGTTTTGAGTGGGTTGTCGATCTGAATTTACAGAATCACCAACAACAGCCTAAATAAAATATGGCACTCAAAATGCTCAAGCTGTTTGTTTACACCGTAATATTTCACCTGAACTTATGACAGGCACTGAAAGCATGTAGCATGGCAAGTTTGTTCACTAACATGAGTTGCCCCCCACACCTGAAGAAAACTAAGCAAGATGTGCAAAGGTTTCCTTCCACATTGCACATCACTATTATGCGACATTGTGATGTAAAAGATAGGACATCACACTTATATATAGAAAACCGCCAAAAAGCAAGCTCTCTGTTGTCTTGATAATTGTACCTGCCGTACTTTAGCATACAGTACACTCCTGATAGTAGTAGTGATAAGATTGCTTTGTGAAAAGGGACCCACAGCTGCTGAAAGGAACATGATAATGATCCTTTGCAATTGCATTCCTTTATTGCAAACAATTGTTGTGTGTTTTGTAGTATGAGGTCCACTTATCATTTTATACAATGACAGCTATGCCACTTGTCTGTTCAATGTCGTTCTTCCATTACTCCATGTTTCTCATGTATGAAATATATCTCATTGGATGAATGCTATGTTATTAATTTCACTTGTTCATGCTTGTTGTTACTGCATTGCATCCAATCCAGCCGTCCAGTTGATGAGACAAATATGTGTTGCCATGCTTCCAGACGGTGACATGCTTGACTAACATGGCTTCTGATCCCGCCGACGCCAGTACCATCCTAGGCAGCAACTGCCCCTGCAGTCAAGAGGTGAGTCTACCATTCTGGACAGTCTTCTCTACTCAGTAATGTTGCCACAACAGACATACCAGTGTAAGTAAAGAATCGCAGTTTTAGTAGTACAGTGATGCCTCACTACAAGGCCCAAATAATTGATGAGCGTTACAGATGATCAGCGGTTTAACGAAGGTCGAGTTGTAGATGGTAGATGTCAACAAAACGGTTTACATGCTCTGCCTACCTAACACGATCTATGTTGTCTGTTCAGAGTTTAAAAAAAAGATAAGAATAGAAGTTGTTTATGATTCATAGTGTAAAAAAAAGATTTATCAAGTAATAATATGCGCTTCCAAAAAACCACATCGTATCCTTTCAGCAAATTCAGGTGAATAAACAGGTATAACAAACTTGGTCAAAAGTATTAAATTTCACATAAAACATTACTAGACATGATGGTTTAACTTTAGCTTTAGGGGACATTTTTTTTATTTCTTTGTTTACGGATGCGCTGCTCTTTCAAAGTCCAAATGTTGACGAAAAATAAAAATAAAATTAACTCCTTTTTTAATTACCGCCGATCTTTACTTTAAAAAATGCATGAAAAGTTCAAACATGAAAAGATTTTGTTTCCTCGTTGAGTGTAAAGCAAAGAGAAGTCACGCTGATATTTCTCGCTCGGATCCTTCTCTAATACCATCAAAGCTTGTCATCGCAAAGCGCACTGGTGACCAGTTTAAGCGTCGCCCATGCTGCAAAACATGAATATTTTTATATTGTCATTTGTTCACAAGCTGTGTGCCAGGGATATAATAAAATGTTCTTGAAAAATTGAGTTGTTTTACTTTTGTTATTCCAGAATATTTTTTTTATACCTACCTAACTGTTCTGGACAAAAGTCAATTAAAAAACATCTGACTGTTTTTGTTTGTTTGTTGTTGTTTTTTATTCCCCTACCTCACTTTTGTAATAAAATAAAAATGTTGCCTTAAGATCAATTTGTGCAAATGGGTCCAGTTTGTGTCTAAATTAGAAAATTTGGCTTGTTCTAATAGTAACATGCAGTCAGACCCTTGTGTTCTACAATACTGTAAATGCATGCAGTAATTTCAGGATCAGGACTCGATTTAAGGAACTTGCCCCAGGTAGATGCAGATGTAAATATTAGCTTGCATTTTTCAATAATACGTTACACTGGTGCATGTTTTATGTAACTCAATCCAAAGAGCTGCAAGATTGTCACTCTACTGTAGATGCATGCTGTATGTGCAGGATGGTGACATACTATACAAGCAGATGCATGCTGTGTTTGCAGGCCGGCCGGTGTCTGGTGGTGTGCATGTTACGCCTGTACCAGCACTACAAGGGGCAGCATCCTGCCCACACCCTTCAGAGCCTGCGTGATGGACTCCTGCTGCTCCAACTCCTGCAACAACGGCATGAGCAGTACCTCACCGACCGCGACTACGAGCTGCAACACGACTACGTCACTCTTATCTGTGGTCTCACCTCTCTCTTCAGACAGTTGCCAGGCAACCAGGAGACTGAGAGTAAGTTGAAAACCCATGTCATAATGTATGTTAACACAGTGTTCAAATTTAGGGGGATGTCATATGGCTGGAATATTGCTGAGTGCGGCGTTAAACAACAAACACACAAACAAATAATCAAACGTAAGGGGGGTTCTTGGGATTGAGGCTTTTTGTATTGTTTTTATCATCTAGGGACCTACTACATGCACTTAGTCTTTCATCTTTAATATCACAAACAATGAAACCTTCACTTTCCCTTAATTTTGAACTATAGTGATAGAAAGATTGTTGTGATTTATATGATTGGTTTGGTTTGTTTGTTGTTTAACGCCACTCTCAGCAATATTCCAGCTATATGACACCGTTTGGTAAATAATCAAGTCTGGACTAGGCAATCCAGCGATTGACAGCATGAGCATTGATCCATGCAATTGGGATGATGACATGCATCAACCAAGTCAGTGAGCCTGACCACTCGATCCCGTTGGTCGCCTCTTACAACAAGCATAGTTGCTTTTTACAGCAAGCATGGGTTGCTGAAGACCTATTCTACGCCAGATCTTCATGTGTCTGTGATTTATTTGAGCGACATCTCACATTGTTGAGCTACAATGCCATGCCATGCCATCAACCAAGCTTCACCACCTGATCGACTGATCCAAACCCATAATCAGGGTGCCGATAGAAAGAGATTTAGGAACACATGAAGGGATTTGTTTTGCTTGTGTTTGACATGTCCTCCTGAATGCACCTGGAAGAGATTTAACAATGTTGTGACACACCAGAGTGTTTAAGAAGTGTCACTTGAATCTTCTATTGTATTTGAATCTTGGGACCCCTAAATCCTCAGGTTTTGATATTAGGGTTATGACGAAGACCCCTTGACTTGCAAGCTCAGTTTTTATCACTGCATCAGATACCATTATTTCATTTCTTTTTATCGTTTATTATTATTAAACACAAATCAGTACTTCTTTGATACTTGTCAAATGATTATCTCTTCCAGAAACATGGAAGAGGGTCATTATTAAAGTGAGGTGAAATGGGGTTTAACGTCACGTTTAAGATTATTTCTCTTACATATAGCAACATGCATACATGTGTGTGTATGTGTGTTGCTGCTTGTACTAGTCTGGACTTGTGCTGGTTTCATAGTACCAGCCACAGAAATACTGTGCAGCAATTTTTCATAGATACCCCACTCGACCAGATTATACTGACTCTGAACCATGCAGTCCTTGAAATATTCCCTTAATGCTGATCACCAGGCAGGGTAACAACAAGCACCATCTTTTACGTGTGTCACTATTGATACAGATACATGGATTTCATTTCATTTGAGTAAGTATTTATTTGTTTTTTATCTGAAAATTTATTTTGTTTCAGTGAATGCCCTGACAGATCTCTGGGACTTCAATCAAGATGATTCTGAATTGTCACCTGACAGCGATCAAGAAGACTTTATGGAATCCTGAGATCTGGTTGCCATGGTATTTTACAGCTGCACCTACTGTAATTCTTGAGCATGGAGAGAGTTTGAATGTGCATTAATGGAAGATCATCATTTTTACTCAACATGAAGAGTCAAAATTTGACAAAATCCAGTGTCGTTTTTTCAGAAGAAATCAACTTTACGGCATAAGGCATTGATCATATTGAAACCAATAAGAGTCTTGCTTAACATTGCTTAAGATTTGTTTATGAGACATATTATTTAATTTTTACCTTTAATAAAATTAAATCACTTTTAAGTTATTTATTGCTATAGGTCTCAGGGAATACATGACTTTGTTCATGTAGAATCTAGCAGTTATTGCAAACTTATAGTAACATGATTGTCTACAATGCTATATAAAGCATATCAATATTTAGTGTGTCAGATTAGTCATTTTATGTCCAAAGAAGCTCTATCTCCAATCGTGGTTAGATCACAGCATTTTCTGAATACATGTATGTTGTGAAGTTATTTTACATTTACTGCGTGTTGAAAAAAGGCCAGCTTTAACAATTCCAGCAAATGAAACTGTGATAATATTGACTGCTTAAATGATGACGTCAACCGTAGAAAAACATTGTTATGTACACTGCACATTTTTAGTCAAAAGATGGTACATAAGTTTGGTAATTTATTGATTGTGCCAAACAGGCATTGTTGTGTGCATGTAGTAGTGTTAAAAGTTAAAAGTCTTTGCTATACCGGTACATAAACATGGGTTGTATTGTACAGTAACACATTGAAATGAAAATGTACATTTTGTAATGTATATATCATGTAGTCTCAAAAACTACAGCAATTGTACAAATAAAATTCTTGAAATTGATGATGTGTTTAGAAATTGAAAATGTGTAGAAAAGATTTGCTGATCAATTGTCATCAATCACCCAGGCCTGGGATGGATAATGTTTTAGCTGGAGGCAAATTGTTTTAAGACATCTTTATGATTTTGTCACCATTTGATTGGACATTCCTCTATATCATTAACGGGATGGCAGGGAAGCCTAGTAGTTTAAGAGTTTGCTTGTCAAGCCCCACATGGGTTGAATGTGTGAAGCCAATTTCTGCTGTCCCCACCCGTGATATTGCTGGAATGTTGATAAAAACAGCTTAAAAACATGCTGCAGTCGGCCACTCCATTTCATTACCAAATTTGAAAGAAAATCTATGGAATTTATTATTTTAATGGCCCTGAAAATGAACGATCTGAAACTCTGTTTCGGGCTAAAAAATGTGTGGTTCTTCTGTTGGTGTTGGGGAGTTTAATTCCAGATAATTTTAAGGATACACAAGCTGCTGAGTTTTAGTGTCATCACTGATTAATCACCAGCTAGTTATATGCATCCGGAAAAATGGGTGATCCTGTAGTCTAAGGTGTCACAATTGCAGTGTGTCACTTGGGATCCTGCATCCAAGGAATGTGGGTTTGAATCCCAGATTGATCCTGATCATGTTTCAAGGTTTGTCAGCACCATACCAATGCTCGTGGGTTTCACCATAGTGCTATGTCTTAGATATGCATGCATTTGGACTTTCTTCCACTGATACTGTTCATACTATCCACTCCCTTATAGGCATCCATTAATATAAATTAAAAAGATACAAATCATAACAAGCTGTACATACAGCAATCTTAATTGGTAGATTTGTTTTACCTGTTAGATTTGTTACTGAGCATCAGTACACTGTTATGTCTAAAGCTGTTTTGAAAAGTATTAGTTATATTACAGCATGTCAGCTTCATGTTGGAGGAAGCCCAAAGTGGTACACGTCTTATATATTTTATATGGTGATGATGCTGAAAAACATGGATTCAAAGCCATGATCATAGGTTTCTGGTGTGCCTATTGTATGCAATTCTGCAGATGATGGGACCAGCCATGCTCCCTTGTATTTGGAAGGTTGGTAAGCAGTTGTCAATATCAAACAGTCTGAGAGTGAGGTGGAGGCGTATCCTAGAGGTTTAAGCAGGTGCTTGTCATACCAAAGGCCACTGTTTGATTGTTCATCTGGGTACAATGTGGAACACCCATTTCTGGTGTCCCTGTTCACTGCTGAGGTTTGAGGGATAACCTCCTGGTTAAAGCATTTGCTTGTCACATGGGAAGCTTGAGACTGGTTATTCACGTGGGTACAATGTTGTTAGCCCATTTCTTGTGTTGCCATGATATTGCTGGAATGTCAATAAAAGCAAGGTAAAACCACTCACCCAGAGCTTAGACATTGGATGTCAAGCTCATCGTGCCAGGATTGTGAACCAATTCTTCCAACAGCAAAACATCCATACAATGCCGTGGCCAGCACTCAGTCCTGACGCCTCAACCATTGAACACATATGTGACATCATCGGTGGACGTGTTCCAAATTCCACCCCCCACTCTCAATGATCTCGGTGTTGCTCTCACTGATAAGTGGAACAGTATGAGTCACTATCAAATAGTATTGATACAAGGTGTTCGCGAAAAGGTGAGCGTATTGTTCCCCGCCCGGTACACACGTCAAAAACACATGTAAAGGCAAGAAAATTGCTTACCGGAAAAGACAGGGAAGCATGGTACAAATCAAAATAGGGAATTGCAACAGACATCATTTTTGTCACGGTTGTCTCAAATTTGGAAATACTCGTATATGGATACATCAAAACTTCTGTCAGCTGTGTGTATCCATAGTGAGTGAGTATTGTCTTACGCCGCTTTTAGCAATAACCCAGCAATATCACGACGGAGAGAATGGGCCGTACACATTTCACCCATGTGAGGAATTGATCCCGTCATGACGAGCGAACTATTTAACCTCTTAGCTACCCAACCGCCCATATATCCATAACAACCTCTATTAATCTTAAGATCGACTCTTGTATGCGTGGCGCCCACATATCATAAATGCGTTTCTGCGTATCGTCAACGCACATGTCTGTACCAGAAACTACTTTCAATTTTAGTTGTTCACACACCACACTAGCATGGCGCAAGGCATGGTCCCATTCCATTATAACCCGAGAAGATCCGGAGGAGAATATGTCTTCAGCGACTAACGGGATCGGGTGGTCAGGCTCGCTGACTTGGGTGACACATGTCATCGTATCCCAATTGCGTGGATCGATACTCATGATACCAATCACTGGATTGTCTGGTCCAGACTCAATTATTTACAGACCGCCGTTACACAGCTGGGATATTGCCGAGTGCCGCGTTAAACGACAAACCAACCAACCAACCAACCTTTTCTATTATATGAGCAAACCCGGTACTACAGAGTGCCAGTACCCGATTGGGATTCGTGTATAGCCTTTAATATGCAAAACACAAGAGAATATGCTTATCTTTTAGTATCTCACAGAAGCAGTAGGTGTTTCATCTAGTAATTGGTATCTACGACATCTAGAAATTCCTCTCCGATCTGGAACTGGTCATATAACATACCATGTTAAAACAAACGAACGTGCTCACATGGGTCCGACGCAGCATCACATGCAGACTGTGAGGGTGTAGGTCACTGACATTGTATTAACATGGTACAAGTAGTCCAGTCAACAGCAGGAGATGCGGGCAGGTAACCCTTCAATGTGAATTACACAATCTATGTCTATGGCAAGAAGTCTATGGCAGATTGACAGAAGGTCGTTATTTCTGGCCCTTAGTGTTCCGCGATTTATAACTCCTGTTCTGCCAGGAACGCTTCGTGCATGGAACGGGCCCTGAACTATGTATCTGGATCATCCATTACTTCTAAGGATCTGCGCGGATTCTTCAGGGCTGGACAAGTTTCAAATCTACCGCTCGGTGCATATACTTTTCTTATGTCAGGGTATGAACATTACGGAACATTTTTTAAAAAATTTTCTTCACACACTGAGCGAAAATGGGCCTTATGTCACTGTTGAAACATTCTCTATACAGGATCTTAAGGATATTGCCAGGTGTCTACAGAGTCTTTGTAGGGTCTCCCGGATATTGCTAATCTGACACAACGTCATCTTCATTAAATAAATAGCATAAATCACATTACATCATAAAACATTTCAGTAATTTGATCTAAAGCTTACATATGTTATTATTAACAAATAAGGATATAATTATTAAAACGAATGAGGGGAATCAGCTCGCTTAGCAGAGGTACCACTGTACACGACCACCCCAGACAACTACAGATCTGAGTGAATAAACAGTCAGTTTATTAGACAGCCACAGAATCTTGTATATAATCAGTCAACAATAGAATGTTTACAATCAATTATTAGAGAAGATTTACAATCAGTTATAGAGGTACATTTATGTGAAGAATATTAGATGAACAAGATATATACATGTACAACATTAGTCACGATACATATTCAAAGGTACACGACATAATTTAACAGTTTATAATTGAATATAGTATAACCAACACACTCTAATACATTACCCGAGTGGGCATTCACACAAGATACATTCAGTTCAGCCACAATACATATTCCTAAAGGTAAACAATGTAATACAGTTAACAGAATTGGCATAATCTATACACAGAAGTAGTGCATGGGAATATCTAAGATGGACACTCAAGTATGACATTTTCGGTTACCAATTAAACTTGCAGGTATTGCCAAGGGTAAAAGCATATAGTTAAGAATTAACATAGTACAAGATGGTAAGGTTTCCGAGTGAATAAACAGTCAGTTTATTAGACAGACACAGAACGATTTGTGACTGTCTGTCGTCCGTATTTATACCTATTCTAGCTACTATACAGATAATCTCATTTACTGATATAACTGACGATAAAGTTGTTATTGCGAACTGAAGTGGCGCTACCTAGACAGAATTATATAATTTAGTTTGACGGAGCCATTGATGATAAAGGTGTTTCTGAGCAAAGAATAATAGCTTACTAATTCATATATAGTATGCAATGAATGTATACGTGGTACGTGTGATTTGATAAGGGTGGATGATAAAGATATCAACGTCTTATATGTGTTTGCCTATTCTATCAGACCAGCACCATGAGAGATGCGGGTCCAGACCGATATGCGTTATAGGGTTGACCCTTGGCAGTCTCAAGATAATGGAACGTGGTCGTTAGTTGTAATATTCCCTTATTTCACAATTTCCAATTCTTAATATGTGGCATTTAACGTGATAAAATATTTGTCAAACTTTGTTCATTTTCCCCATGTTAATATAATTGATACGTAAACTACACATTACGTAAACAACTTCGTTTGAAGCCAATAGAAAGACCATTTACATACACTAGACAAACCCAAAGACAAAAATAAATTACCCAAAAGCCCGATGAATGGCTTTTCTGAAAATCTAGGTTGGGTTATGGACTGGCATCGCATCTCCCTCAGAACACAATTAAGATTCCCCTCCGTTCCGTCCCCATCCCCTCCGGTACGCCATATCAGTGTCATCAGTCACACATGTATCTTGTTGATGAGGGTTGTAATTAATTGACAGTGAGATAAAAGTGAACATTCTGAGCTCGTTCTTGTGGATGACCGGAATAACTATAAGTGTTTCTATATTTGGCTTTGTGGTTTTAGACTATTTACATAGGCAACTGTCAAATTTGATTTGGAACGATGTACATTTCATGCAGGTGTTCGCCAGCATTGTCACGTGATGTCCTGGTTTCGATTTCAACCAATCGGGGCTCACTTCCGTTGCACGAGTTTTTGATGCGCGTTCATTCCAGACGACATGAATGGAAGCAGAAGTGACGCATGTTTATAAGCAGGTGAGAATTCATTTAAAACAAAAATTAAAATGACTTTAGACAATTATTATTGATGTTTAAACTATTTCCACTCAACAATGTAATAACTTTTTTGAAACTTTT